CGGGCGCGGGCAGGATGCTCCGCTGGCGGGGCCGGGCGCGGGGCGTCGCGGTGGCGGTGGCGCACGGGCTGTGCTCGGGCTCGCTGAACATCCTGCTGAAGTTCCTGCTGGCCCGCTACCACTTCGCCTTCCTGACGCTGCTGCAGTGCCTCAGCAGCGCGGCGGCGGCGCTGGGGCTGGAGGCGCTGCGGCGGCGGGGGCTGGCGGCGCTGCCGCCCTTCGGGCCCCGCCTGGCGCGCCCCTTCGCCGCCGTGGCCGCCCTGGCCACCCTGCAGTCCACCCTCACCCTGTGGTCGCTGCGCGGCCTCAGCCTCCCCATGTATGTCGTCTTCAAGCGCTGCCTGCCCCTCGTCACCCTGGTCACCGGCGCCCTGGTGCTCCGCGACGGCATGCCTTCGCCCGGCGTCCTGGTGGCCGTCCTCATCACCACCTGCGGCGCCGCGCTGGCCGGTGAGCGCGGCCGCGACCGCTCCGAGGGGACCGGGCGGGACCGCACCGAGGGGACGGGACCGGACGGGACGGGACCAGACGGGACAAGACGGGACGGGACGGGACAGGACGGGACGGGACGGGACGGGACAAGACGGGACGGGACAGGACGGGACGGGACAAGACGGGACAGGACAGGACGGGACGGGACGGGCGGCCGCAGCGGTATCCGCTCCCTCCGGGCTTCGGGCGCGGGACCGGGAGGGCAGCGCCAGCCCGGGGAGAAAGACGGGAGGATACGGGGGACGCGCAGTTCTGGGGCACAGCTGCGGCCCCACGGAGGCAGGTGCAGCCTTGCAGGGGTGGGTGCAGCCCCGCTCTGATTGGCACGTTCTTGCAGAGCTCGCTAGAACCTTTTGGAGATAGGTGCATCCTTACTGGGGCCCGTGTAGGAGTAGCTGCGACCTTATTGCAACCCTGCTAGGGAAGGTGCAGCCTTATGGAGGGAAGTGCAGTCTTAGGGCGGGTGGGTGAATCTGCAGGGGTAGATGTGATGTTCTGAGAGCAGCTGCAAGCCCACGGGACAACTGCTGCCGTGCTGGGGCAAGTGTGATCTTATAAGGGCAGGAGCAAGCTTGGGGGTCAGCTACAGCCCTCTGGGGCCAGGAGGACCCGTGCTGCTTTCCAGCCGAGATGTAGTAGGTGGAGTGGGAGGCAAAGCTGGCACTTTGTGGCTCGACAGCACTCCTGGGCTGGGGGCTGCCTCAGACAGCAGAGCACATACAGAGTGTGTGATTTAATCTGCAAAGAGACTGACAGGGGGCTTGGGAGGGAGGCTGTTGCTTCAGGGATCCCACAGGGCTCCATGGCTAGAGGGTGCAAAATGGCCAGTGGGTCGGAGGGCAGGCAGCCCAGCCAGCCAGAGCTGGCATGTGTCTGTGCTAGCAGGAGGATGCTCAGGGTTGCTCCACATGTGTGTGTGTGTGTGTGTGCGCATGGTTTCAGCTACGAATCTTTCACAGTGTCTTCACGAAAGGGAGAAGACAATCTGATTTTGGCTGTGGGATTTAGAGGGGGTATGAAAAACACTCAATATGTTTGCAGCTTTAAAAAATGCATGAGAGATTTTTTGGGAGGCAAGACTTGAGACAAGCATGACAAATCCCAGGGGTTATAGAAAGTGCAATGATGCCTATTTGCTAAATATCCCTCCAGTCCAAAATGGTGCTCTCTTTCTGTCTCCTGAGCAACACCCATGCTTATTTCTCTCTGTGACTCTCGTGACAGGAGCTGGTGACCTGACTGGGGATGCTATGGGCTATGTGACAGGCGTGCTGGCCGTGCTGATACACGCTGCCTACCTGGTGCTCATTCAGAAAACCAGTGTAGACAGTGAATATGGACCCCTGACAGCTCAGTATGCCATCGCCGTTTCGGCCACCCCTTTCCTCATCATCTGCTCCTTTGCCAGCATGGATTCCATCAACGTCTGGTCCTTCCCAGGGTGGAAGGACCCTGCCATGGTATGCATCTTTATTGCTTGTGTTCTGATTAGCTGTGCCATGAACTTTACCACCCTCCACTGCACTTACATTAACTCGGCTGTGACCACCAGCTTTGTAGGGGTGGTGAAGAGCATAGCCACCATCACGGTGGGCATGGTGGCCTTCAATGATGTGGAGCCCACAAAGTTATTTATAGCTGGTGTTGTGGTCAACACCTTGGGGTCTATCATTTACTGCGTGGCCAAGTACGTTGAGACCAGGCGGCAGAGCAACTATGAGGACCTGGAGAAAGAAGCTAGAGGAGAGGAGGGGAAAAGCCAGGCTGGAGACCAAGCTTTGTTTGCCATGGAGACAATTTCCCAGGGGAAGGGGGCTGAGGAAGCAGCGGTGGAAGAATCATCCACAGGGCAGAGACAGAGTGGAGAGGAAGAGAAGGACGTCACTGAGAAATCAGCCAAGGCACTTGTGGTTCAGGGAAAATCCACCATCGCACAAGAAGTGAACAGAAGCTCTCTGAAAGAAGCCTATCTTGGAGTATGGAGGTTGGTGAGGGGTGCTAATTATATAAAGAAGGATTATTTGATAGAAAATGAAGAGCTACCAAACCCTTAAAAATCAGATTTGAAAACCTATTGTGTGAGGACAGACACCTGGTTTTCTGTACAGGGGAAGGCAGAGCATACATTTCCACATCAGTGCTTACAAATCCAAATCATTCAGGATGACTTTACCTCATTGTCAAAAAGCAAAAGGTCATAGTTTGCTCATGCTTTGGGCTTGCTTTCAGCTGCTTTCAGTATGTCACTCTAGACCCACCTCAGCTAAGGTGCTGACACTCTGCTGCAGACACAGAGAGAGCTGGGTAAGGGGAGCCACAGGGTGCTTGCCCAGCAGCTGGGAATATGAGGGATATCTGTGCCACTGAGATACTTGGCGGTACCAGTGACACAGCAGTGGCCTATTCCTTAGATTGTGTCTGGAGCCTAGTGATTTTAACACATTTGGAGGCTCTGTCAGTGTGCTTCTGTATCTGTATCCATCTATAGGTACTCTACATAACTAATTCCTACAATATAAACTCGTATTAACTGTACTTTTTTGTGCTCCTCTGTGTCCATGCAATTGCAACAGAGATAGAGGTTGTGCCACTTCAGTTATATTGGTGTAAAATCACTCTCTTATCTGATGAATTGAAGCCCTCCAGGCCAAGTCTTGGACCTGGTTTACATTGGGTACTTTGTGTCTTCAGTAGAAATCCTTTAGTCTTGTGGTGGTGTACATGAAAGCAGAACCAGATCTGAGCTTCTGAGAAGCTTTGACTGGCAAAAGAAGGATGTTTAACTATGAGCTTTAACTATACGTAGCATTTGGAATATTAGCTTGACTCAAATAAAAGAGTTTGGAAATGTTGGTATGTATTGATTGGATTTGGGAAGGCTATAAAAATTTAGGGAGAAAGTGTGTGCCTTGTGTTATCCCTCCTTGTACCCTAAAGTCAGATGAACCAGAGCCTGGACTGGAACCCAGGTGTCCTCTCCATTCATTCTCTCATAAGCAGAGGCTGGGAGCAGAGCTGGGGACACCAGCTCTGAAGGTGCTTTTGCAGGACAACTCCCTGGCCGTGTGCTGGTACGTGGCTTTGTGCACATCTGCCCTTGCTGTCCCTGTGCTGTGCTGTCCAGCGGAACAAAGCGCGGGCAGGCAGCAGGAGCTGCCCGGTGCTCTGGCAGATCCCATGGCCAAATGCTTGGGAAGCTGGATGCTCAGGGTGTTCAGCACGGGGACACCCATGGCTTTGGCAGAAGCAGCTCCCAGTGCCCAGGCTGTCCCTGTCCCCGTGGGCTCCGAGGGGCAGAGCTGCCTTTCCCCTTGGGAACTCAAGCGCTTGCATGCGAAGTGAGAGGCAGGCACCCCAGCGAGGCCTCTGCTGAATGTGCTAGTATTTTGTCCCACATCTGTTTAACTGAAAAGACTGTGGAAAAAAATGTTTGAGTGTTTCTTTGCCTGAAGATATCTGTTTGGTAGGGGGAAGTACTTGGGTGGAACCTTTGCTCAGGCTAGACAGAGAAAAGATTTGACTGTGAGTACCCCTAAAGCGTGCTGCAGCCATTGAGGCCCTGTGAGTATTTCTCACCCCTAAAGCGTGCTGCAGCCATTGAGGCCACCTGGACAATGACTGAAAAAAAAGTTGTTACCATTTCCTGAAAAAATGAACCACGTTTGTTGTTGTTAGTTTTAATATTGTTATTGTTGTTATTAATAATTATTTCTTATTATCTATTAAGCCACTGAACTGGAAATCAATTATTCCCACAACGCTAATTAACCAGTGCCTGGCCCAGTGCTCTCTCCAGCTGAAAAGGCAGCATTAGCTTCACAGCGTGTTCAGTCTGAAGTGAGCAATTTGCCCAGCAGGGAATATTTGCAAAACTGCTCTCTGGGGAAGCTTTAGGTTCTTGTCAATAAATGCAGGCAGAAACATCAGGTCCTTTGGCAATGTGTTTTTGGAATGATTGCAGAAGTTGGCTGACCTGGCATCACCCATGAATTTTGAAAGAGACAGCTAAAAGGACATTTATGCTAAAAGCTGCTGAGCTGGGGGACAGGGCACGGAGCTCTGTACATCACATGTTATGTATAGCTTGTGTTTAAGAGGTACTGGCTGTATGCCAAAATACGTTTACCTTCTGTTCGAGCTCCATATGGGATCTTTTCAATAAAAGTGCTGTTTATTGTTTCTAGGCTAATGTGATAGGGCTTTTGTTAGTTTTTCAAATGTATCCTAGACTAAAGAAGTTTGTGCCTATGACTTATAGTTGCTGTATTACTGGACTCATTGCGATATTGAACTGCATTGTAATAATACAGATGGCTGGAGAGAAACCCACAATTCTGATGTGTCCTCACTGTGCTCAGTGTTTTCTGTCCACAAAAAATGTGGACCTTACCACCTGGATGCCAGTCTTAGATCCCGTAGTGCACACACCGTGTTTGACACGTGCTGTAGGAAGCTCTTCCACTAGACTCTTGTTTCAGGACTTTTTCCTGGGGGGAAGTTAAATGTTTTGCCACTTACTGTTGTTAAATTGTAGAAATCTGTGGAAGTTCAAACAGTTTTGGCTATTAAAAAAGCTGCTGTTACAATGTTGTACATTTGCATGTATAGTTGAAATGTGATTATATTGTATTCTGTTTTTACTTGTAAATTCCCTAAATTAAAATGGGAATTTGGCAAATGCAATCCAGTTTTTCGGTAACAGACACTGTCACACAATGAAATAAAAATACTGCCTCGTGCTGAGGTATTTTAATAGCATCAGCGGAAGATGGTAGAATGAGATGTGGGAATAAAATGCACTGCTTTCCAAAAGCCTTCTGCTTTTCTTATTGTTGCTACTCCAGGGTGCTCATTTTTGCTTCATTTATAGTTATTCTCGTGCCTTTATATCGTCCAAGTTTCCTCAACATGTGACCACACACTATAAATACTGTCACGGACAGAGGGACTAAGGACAGACAAAGGAAAACAGGATTCTGAAGTGCTGGGACCTCGGTACAGCTCAAAATTTCTGTGGTACTCAGTGGTGATTTTTTGGTTACATATTTAAGATGATTTAATGTCACTGGTGTAGCTGTTATAACTCTAAAATTAATAAAAGTAAGATGATGCTCATTAATAATAGTTCCATTATAAAATGACTGCATTATTAAAGGACATAATATTAATTTCGTTTTACAATGGTAAGTATTTGTATTATCATCTGTGTTGCATGGCAGCACTAGGAGATGACTTCAGCATTAATTTTTACCTGTTTGCTTTGGATGAAAGGTACATAATACACCTGTGGCTGAAACTGGGTTGCCAGACCACTGGTTGTGGTTGGTGGTTATTGCCGAATTCATCTTAGAGCTCCACATAAATGTGCCTGCAGGTTGACGTAGAGAAGAAGACCATCCTTGTTGTCAGATAATAAATGAACCTGATGCACAATGACTGCTTTGAGAATAAACAGGAATTTCAGTGTCAACACATCCTTGAGTAGCACCTGCTGTAGCACTCCTAGACATGCACGTAGGCGCACATGCACGCACACAAATACACATGCAACAGGACAACGAAAGCCAGACTGGCTATCTTTTGTGAAATGCATTCTTTTCTCTAAGAAATTAAAGAGAGGACTGTTTATTTGGAGGCAGGTACAGTTAAATTTATAAGGATAAATTAAAAATTTGCATATATCACTAATCTTGTATTTGGCATCACTTCCACATGGAAAATATGCAGCAACCTACAAAGAGCCATCTGGGAATGAAAGAAATTTTACAGTTTGCTAACCAACACTTCAGACCCCTGCATACATCCAGGATAGTTTATTGCCAGTATTTAATAGCCTCTTGTAATTTTGTTTGCTGCAAAAATGCCTGTTTGCTGCAAAGGCTTTAGTAGGGAAAAAGGTGCCAGCCCTTCAGCTCTGGTCTCTAAATTAACATTTGTATCATTTTGCTGCTAATCACGGAGGGCTAACAACAGTCTCTGCCTGTATCCTGTATAATTTCATGTATTACTTTGAGGTTTCTTCTGTGTTTTTCTAACTAGAGTCTCTAAGTGCAGTGGAGGCAATCAGCTCTGCTCTCAATGAGCTGCTGTATTCATGCTTCAGTTGCTTGCTGAAGGTCGTCAGGAAGATTTTCACTTGAACCCCGTTCCTGTCAGGAATTGATGAGCATGCATATGCCTCTTTTCTCATCTTTTGTTGCTGCTGTTTCTCCCACATCTTTTATCCAGTGTCCATCCTGAAAATCTCTGCAAGTAATGGAGGACGTGCCACAGAGGCTTCTGTTACTTTTTTTTTTTTTTGCAAGTAATGGAGGACTTGCCACAGAGGCTTCTGCTATGTTTTTTTTCTTTTTTTTTTTTTTTCTAGAAGGGCAGGGAAGGCATGGACCAGCAGGATCTTGAATGTCCAGATTGCTTCTTTCTACCTTTGTGCATGTTTCTGCCCACCAGCTCCCCGCATCCCTGATCCCTATATAGCTCAGCCCTGGCTGTGTCCCAGCTTCTGGTGGAGCTGTGCCCGGGCTGTGTCCCAGTGTCCTGTGGAGCTGGGCTGTGCATGGGCCAGGTGCTGGAGTGAGGGCTCTCACTCTGCCAGACAGGCAGCTCTGAAACCTGCCTGTGCCTGCCCCTGTGGAGATTTAGTATACACACAGAACCAGGAGATTTTTCATAATAAGAACGTTTTAAGTAATAAGGCTGTAAACCTGCTGTTAAGCTAGACTCAATTTTTTTAATAGGGTCAGACTTAAGAAAGCCAGTTACAGTCCAGCTTTCTTCAGTGCTGGACTTTGGGTTTGAACGGAAGAGAGGCAGCCTGAGATGAAAACCCAGGTAGAGAGCATGAAAGCAATGCTCAAAGAGGTACATGGGATGGGATAAAGATGAATGGGGAAAATATGTAAGCTACAAATTAGCATGGATGGGGAACATGGGATAGTTTGCAGAAAAGAAAAATGTCCTTGCATGAAAAAAGAAAAGTGACAGCACTGGAAACCAATGGCCAAAGAGTGAGGTGAATCTGCAGTGAATGCACTTGAGTTTGGGCTCTGGAAGAGCAGGGCACATGAAGGAGAGAGGCAGAGTGAGTGAGCTGGCTGAGGGAAAGATGGCTGCATCTATTCTTTGTGGTTCTGTGATCTTTTTTTCTTACTGGGTAGTTGTAAGAAATTTTGCTCTGGGCAAATTAATCTTGTTAATAAGTTTGTCTTTTATCAAGTAAAAGCAATGTCAGCTCTGTTCTCAAAATCACAGGACTTTTTTATTAGGTGCTTTTGATTTTTTTTCCTGACAAAACAAGAAGATTCCAACAATTATTTAACAGAATTCAGGTTTTCTCTGATAAAGAGCAATAACTTCTGAAGACACAGACCATTTCTTACCCGACATGGGGGTCAAATGAGAGAGAATAATGATTTGGAACTGGCCATAATAGTAAACCAGGCAGGTTTACCAGCTGCTGTAAATAATGATCAGTATCATCAGCAGATAAAAACAGCTAAAGGCTGCAGTGTATATCACAATTAACTCCTCATGTCTTGAATTGTCTTAATTCTGTTAAGTGCACTTTTTGTCTTCAGAGTATCTCTGTGAATTTGTTCTGATGATTAGTCTAATTCCAAACCATGTGCATCTGGTTAAAAGGTAGAATACAGATTTTCCCTTCTGTTTCTCAAACCACAACCTAACCTGGGGTTTGAAGGGTAGAGAGGTTCCTTCTCTTCTTGAGTGAGTGAACATTCAGGTGCACAGATAAAATATCCAACAACATATGTTTCTACAAACATATGAAAACCAGCTAAATATTTCCTTATCACAATTTTCCAGGAACAAAATTACATTTCCTTAAGCACAATGGCCAAGAGGCCACTGAGTCTGATTCCTCATTGAATATCAGAAGGCTGATGCACACAAAACACACCACAACTGAGTGCACAGCCACACAGTTTTGGCCCTGGGATTTGCAATATTTTCCAAAAGAAAAGAGACTGGGGAGTATTTGCCTGGAACTATGGGAGAAATTGCTTGACTTAGGGAAGCTAGGATGCAGGTCTCTGTGAAGAATCACTGCCAAGCCAGCAGCACATTTCCAGGATTCTTGAGACAGGGTTGGACTTTCAATATTGCTCAGCTTTTTTTTCTTTTTCTTTTTTTTAGCTTTTTTTTTTCTTTTTCTTTTTCTTTTCCTTTTTTTTTTTTTTTTTTTTGAGGGGGGAAGTTGTGGGGTTTTTTTGTTGGTTCTTTGGTTTGGTTTGGTTAATTTGTTTTGGTTTGTTTGATTGGTTTTTTTTGATAATAGATATTGTGAATGAGCAGAATCATCTGTAACACCTGGTCACATCCTGGGGTACCTTCTGGGTGCTGAACTCTTCATCCAACACCTGGATGTTGCAGTGGCTTGATAAAAACAGTACAATATCATTCATGCTGTATCCAGCTCTGTCATCCAACACAAGCAGAACACTTTATTTTTCTGTCTGGGAAATCTACTTAACAGTGATTAAGTATGCTTGTATACTCATAAAGATCTTTTATAGCTGCTCCAAATATTC